AATGCAGTAGGAAGGATAACCTGATAAGGGGAAGAGCAAGACCATTCCAGAGGAAAGAGGGTCCTGAGCACAGAGAAATGAGCAGGTAGATTATAATGGGCCATAAAGTCAATGTCTGTGTTAAGTCCCAGATTTTTAGTATCCAGTAGTTATTAATGTTTGTTCCCAGACCTGTCTTTTGAAGATGTTTTATAAATGTCTCTTGAGAATGAGGCTTGTGAGGTCAGAAAGCGCACAGTTGTTCCAATAAAAGAGATCACCCTTGCCATATTTTCTGGACCATCGTGGCTACAATATTATTCCAGCACTACCCATAAAAGATCATCCATTCTGCATGCATGCACACATCATGCTCCAAAGACCCATGGGTGCACAGTGGGCTATCTCAGAGGCATGATCAGTCTTGGCACAGTGGACTGTGTCACACCTGAACCTGTTAAGCGAGCTGGAGTTGCATAGGAACCCAAAGTCATTCTTTCAACCTGGTGATGATGTAGGAGTTCCTGGAAGCTGTCTCCTGCAATGGTTTAGCTGTTTAGAGAGTGCGCAGCACTGTCCAGCCAGCATTACTGTTACATACAGTGGCAGGTTCTTGAACAGTGTCAAGTGTGGTTCAGTGTATTAGCTGTATTGGGATGCCACATTTCACATAAAGAGTTGTTTGTGTGGTAGTGGATTTGGTCGGGCTTCTGGCCTGCTTGACTAGGAAAACAGACAGAGACCAGAAGTGCTGATACTGCTTATTTTAGTTACATGTTCTGAGATAAGGAATCCTGCATGCCTTGTTTTGTCTTGCTATATTACCCTGTGCACAGATGTTTTCTTTAAGTAAACTGCCTGTATGTCTGTGTGTAATTTACTATTGTTTTGTTTCTCCAAGGTCATATTTTTTTTCTCTTGCTCTGTCTTAAGTATAAATATGCTTGTAAACTTATAGAATTTGAGAAATCCTTTGAAACAGACAAGTGGGTGATTCCCCTTGCTGTATGGAATTCTCCCTGTGATCACACTATAGCCCCAAGTAAAGAAAAGCTGGCTCTGTCAGTTCTGATTCAACCACAACGCGAAGTTTGATTTCTTCCACTTTTGCAAGGACCAGTAATCATAACACATTTGTTGGTTTCAGTGTGCCTATAATAATTCTTGTGATGTGATTAAACTGGATATCTACTACTAAGGTGTGGGCTCAGTTTAACTCAAATGGGGCAAAGAATTCACCAACTAAAGAGCAGAAATCAAGACCTGAATTAATCAGCATTTGTATACTGCCTTCCCAGATAAACCATACTAATTTGCTAAGGAGATTGTTTCTACTCTTTATCAGCTTACCTACTTGCATGATACATGAAACAATGTATGTTTCCAGTTGTGACCAGTTGTATGACAGAGTAAGTTCTTTTCAAAACTTAATAAGAGTTTCCAGTAAGTGTGACACCCCGGGAGGCAATATGAGTGAGGCAGCAGGAACTCCTTGATGTGGCAGGAGAGCCCCATACCCTTGCAAGGACAGTAGCATGACTGTTACTTCTTTACTGTAAAAAGTTCTTTATATAAGTTCTTAGAAATAATAAAGCTGTTTCCACACCCCAAGCCTCATCAAGATACTACAGACTGCATCCAGCAGTTCATTTACCCTGCACCAGCTCAGTCTCCACTTCAGGCACAAGATACAGTGCTCAGTAAACAGCTGCTGCAGATTTCTTAGCAGCTGTGAAGGAGTTAACACAGGAGTCTACCCCTTCTGCTCACTGGGCCACAGAGGTGGCAACCATTTTGACAGCCATTAGAGCAGTCTGCATGCTTCTATTCCAGTTAAGAAAGTCATTTTCCCTGCTTTAGACATGCACCCCAAATTTGGAAGGCTAATTTTGAAGGTGGGGGGAGATGTGCGTAGTATGCAAGTAAATGTGGCACTTCAGTTTGGTGAGAAACCTGCCCAAACATCAGAGTTGTCCTAGCATGTGCTTAATACCCTGTAGAACATGGGTGGGTAATTATTTCAGCTGCAGGGCCACTTAATGAGTTTTGGTGAGCTGTTGAGGACCACACACATAGAATCTTTTAGAAGATATAATTTTAACAAATTATAGATAAAAAAGAATCATATAATAAAAATCAAACATCTACTATAACATTTTAATTCTATTTCAAAAAATAATATTTGTTCTGATTTGTTTTTTTAAGTGGCATATATTGAGGTGATTGCAAAATAGCTTAAAATAGAGTCTTACTCTTGTATATTGTGGGTGTGGGCGATGTGAAGGGATGGTGCAGGGGCTGTAGGTACGTCTGTGGGGTGGGGTGCTAGACCCCAGGAGCCGGCTGGTGTTGGGGTGGGGGCAGAGAGTGCATGCAGCATGGCTTATCTGGGTGGTGCAGGTGCAGTCCATGGCTGCCATCATGGTGCTCTGCATGGGGTTGAACCCTGCCTGCTCCTCCCTGGGCAGCCCATGCCATGCTCCTGCTTGCATCTGGCCCTGGCCAGTGTGCACAGCTGCCCAAGTACTGCTTAGCTCCCCCCACCTTCAGTGGCTCCTCTTCCTTCTCCTCCTGCCTAATCAGTTGGCTGGTCATATTTTGCCCACCCTGTTGTAGGATCATCTGCTCCAGGAGTTTGCAACTACAGTTACAGAAGTGATATTAGGAGATAGCTGTCTGTTAAAAAATGATCCTTGCCTCGATTTAACTTTTCTACATAACAGTGTCTGGGGTATAAGGCTCCCTCATGTAGGATGTGAAGATGGACAGCTAGTGCTGGCTCACTTATCAAGATGTTACAGGTGTTCTGGTGATACGTTGTCAAAACTGTAATGACTGGGACAAGTAGTCATTGCTGAGGGATATGAATAAGACAAGGACAGGCTGGAAGGAGAAGACAGATGCTTGGGGTAATGCAGAGACACGGCTGTGCCCACTAGACACATTCTCATACGGAGCTTGGAATGGAATCACATGCCCCCGAATATCATATCTGCTTCAAAATAAAATCTCAGTTTGCGTTTTTAAAACCTTTGGATATTACTCACCCAAAGCTATGGGAAAAGAGCAGTATAGTTACAAAGACATGCAGTTAAAGTCAGACACAGCATGAATGAAAGCTGGCTGCACAACCAGGCTGCCCCCTTGTGTAGATCCATTATGATAGTCCTTAATTACATAATCACCCCCAGTTTTGCCATTTTGTGCCTCATTCAGTGCCCAGCACTAATGCTGCTCACTTCATAAGCAACTATTTTGTCGTCTTGTTTTGTTTTTACAAGCAGTGTAAGCAGGTTAGTGAGGCTGCTGCTTTTTCGCAGCCTGGCTCTGCCCAGAGGGGGCTCTTGAGCTGGTCTTTAAACTGCAGGCACAGTCCTTACTCACAAAAAGAAACCGATCAACAAACCAAACTGATAGCCCTTCTCCAGGCTGTAGGAGAGGCCCTTTAGCTCTGGCCCCTTTCTAGTATGGATTTTTTTCTGGATTTCAGCCCACCTCCTACTCATGAACTGCTGTTTCTCCTCCAGCTCAACCTCCCGGTTCTCTGGGCTTTTCAGCTACCTGCTGGGCCTCTACCACAGGCTGTCTGCTCCCTTTCAAAATGGCCTGTCTTCCCTGTTACAAGTAGCTATTCAATATTTGTTTTCTCCTCCTTGTTTAGTGTTTTGCTTCCTCTCCTTTTTACTGCATACTATTCAAACCCCAGCCAGAAAATATCTTCATGGCTTTTCTGTAGTACTCATCACAACGGTATCTGTGTTCTGTGCAAACATTAAAGAACTTATATTCAGAACATCCTATGAAATGAGTGGATATTTTCCCCATTTTAGAGATGTAGGACTAAAGCACAAAGGGGTTGTAAGAAGTACTTACTGATTTTGGGTGTTGAGTTTGAGGTATTTAGGACCTGATTCTCTTAGAGTATTTAGCATAAAATAGCACTAGGGACAGAAGTTACATATAAGCCAGTTTAAGCGACCAGAAACCAGTTCAAATCTCTAACACAACAGAAGTTCAGTGCACACAGACTGCTTTCAAAATGGCTGAAACTGGTTTAAAATAAACCTGGATAGATCTAGTGTCAGACTTAACTGATTTAGTTTAAATCAATTTATTAAACTTCTGTCCCAGATCCCCTCCATATTCAAGATAACTCATAGTCCCCCAGCATCCCAGGATGCTTTGCACTTCCCTCCTGCAGGGTGGGCAGGCAAGCTTTGGCTCAAGCTGTCTGCTCCAGCTGAGCAGTGAGGCATACTCTAGTGTCCCCTTGCCTCTGACTTGAGCCACTGCAGGCATGTGGCTGCATTTGCGGAATCAAAAATGAACGTCTGTTCGCTTGTTTATCTGGTCAATCTGCGCAGCTTAGACTAATGTGCAAAGATTGAATTGATTCAGCCTTGGCCTTTTTGACTGTCTTCCTAGCCTGTATGCTCAAAGCAAAGCACTCACTGACTTCAGTTGCAGCTGTGAGAGCTAAGCAGTTCTGCAAATCAGATCCCAGCATATTGGATCAGGCACCCAGAATATAATTAGAATGATGAAGATCCAGCCAAGCCTGTTGGCCCATTGGGTTAGTGTAGTTAAAGCACCCTAGTTTCTTAGCCAACAACATACAAGGGAGAGATCACATATGACTGCCTTTGACTCCTCAGTCTGAATGACCAGGTACCCATTACAACTGGGTCAACTGGAGGCAGTCTTTGGCATGAGTCCAGAACAGGGCTTGAACTTGTGTCTCAGGGGCAATAGCAAAAATATTTTTTATCACTCTGCCATCACACTTCTGACACTCAGAAAATCTGGAACATACAATTAAAGTGTGCCTGCAGACAGTATAGCTCAAGCAGTATGTTCTGCATCTCATAGGAACTCTTTGGCAGACAGAGAGAATTCAGTTCTCCAGCATGGCACTCCAGTACTTTAATTATGAGGCTGCCCTTTCTCTTCCTACAATCATTGCTTCATTCACTACATACCTTTCCAACTTCTGCAACATAACAGGCAGGAGTCCAACATACAGCAACGTCCTTCAGTACACAGCCCTGAATCATCTCCACAGCAAGGTAGAAAAAAGTCATATATCAACATGTAATTAAGGATTGCACCATAACGTGTGTTTGCAAGAGTTTCGAATTAAGGCTGCACAAAGCAAGCCTTAGTTCCAGAATTTCCTCATTTCTGTAAGCTTGACTTTGCAACCTGGAAAATGTTCTCCTAATGCATTTTGGCAGGTAGTATCTATATATGCTGTAGCTCAGTATTTGTTGACTTATGCCTTTCCCTCACAATGGCTGCTGAGTACAGTCCTGTGACAGACAGGTGCAGGACTGCTGTGTCCTAACTTGTGCTGGTAGCCAGTATGTGTTGTACTCAGTGCTTCCATTTCATAGGAGGGAAGGGCACATGGGAGAGAATGAAGTGAGGGTTCAAATAGGAGATTCAAAAAACGAAAGAAGAAAAAGATCTTGAAAAGGCATACACGAAATTTAGATGATAGTTTAGGTCTTTTTTCACAAAGGGTCATACAAAGCCTGTGTACCACTGTAGCCTTGTTTTGTATAGAGTTTTAAAAGAATGCCCTCAACTGGAAAATCATTTGTAATTCTGAAAATGTTGTAACATACAACTCCTTGGGTTCCTATTACATCAAGATTACTGCACCTGGCAGCACTGTGTGGGGATGAGGTGAGCAGCTGACAGTGATGAAAGAGCAGTTTAGGGGCTGTTTAGAAATGCTGGGTGGGAACCAGTCCATGGAGCTGGATATAATGTACCTGAAGGTGCTGAGGGAGTTGGCTGATATGACTGCAGGGCAACTGACCATTATCTTTGACAACTCATGGCAATCAAGAGAGGTCCAGACAACTGGAAAAGAGCAAATATAGTGCCTATCTTTAAGGAAAGGAAGAAGAAGGATCCAGGGAACTACAGATTGGTCAATCTCACCTCAGTCCCTGGACAAAATCATGGAGCAGGGCCTTAAGGAATCCATTTCTAAGCACTTGGAAGAAAAGAAAGTGATCAGGAACAGTCAGCATGGATTCATCAAGAGCAAGTCATGCTTTACTAACCCGATTGCCTTCTAGAAAAGATGACTGGCTCTGTGGATGCAGGGGGAGCAGTGATATGTGATATATCGGGGGAAGCAGTGATATATCTTGACTTTAGCAAGGTTTTTGATACAAAGCCTTGGCTGCCTCCCCCTCTCTTCCAGCTGGTGTCGGGGCTGGGTGATGGCAGATGGGCATGGTGGTGGAGGCGGTGCTGCCACTGGAAACTAGGGGTGTGCAAAGTGGGCAGTATTTGATTCAAATTTGGATTTAGCCCAATTTGGGAGACAGTGATTCAATTTTCTGATTCAGATCACTGTCCCGATTCAATTTAGCCGAATCTAAAGATTCAATTCTGATACTGAGAGTCAGTTATTCGGCCATAGACACAGCTTTATAAGTCTTTTCTACATACTTCATGGTACCAGGCATGACTCATGAACACTGAGATGGTGGGGTGGATGAAGCATCCCACAGGAGTGCAGGGGAGTCTGCTGCGGAGCATGCGGGCAACTCCCCCCTGCACCCCCTGGCTGGGAGATCAGCTGCAGGGGGACCACAGGTGCCCCCACAGACCCAAGAGGCACCAGTTGCCAAGGTAGGGGGCAGGGGGGTCTCCCATGCGCTGTGTGGTGGACCCAGAAGTGGACTGGAAGTATTTTTGGTCCACTTCTGGGTCCACCGCCGAGCGCATGGAGTAACACCCTTGCACTCCCATGGGACGCTCCATCCACCCCACCATCTCAGCGTTCACAAGCCATGCCTGGTATGTTGAGGTATGTAGAAAA